ATCTGAACCGTGGACCATCGGGAGTGCGCGGGCGCCGCCCTTCGACACACACACACACACACACACGGAGGCGGGGGGAGGGAGGGGGAGAGAGAGAGAGAGAGAGAGAGAGAGAGAGAGAGAGAGAGAGAGAGAGAGAGAGAGAGAGAGAGAGAGAGAGAGTATGGCACGCTGTGTCCTCCGCCCTTCTCTCCGCTCATTCTGCGCGTGCTCCCCTCGGCCGAGAGAGAGACACACACACACACGCACACACACACACACACACACACACACACACACACACACACACACACACACAGAGGTCATTGCATTGAACCATTTGTATTCACACTTCACACAGAAATTCACACCGAAGTCCAGGGATGGTCTTATTGTACAAAATTAGAGTTTGAGTCACATAGTGCTCAACAGCACAGTATCTAGCAGCTTCAATCAGGTATGTAACTGGGTTCACCGAGCATGTATACCCAATCAGGTGTGTAACTGGGTTCATCGCAATATTCTGGCGCTATGGGAAATTTGACTGTTTGTGTATACCCAATCATGAGCCTCTCCGAACGCATTTCTTGGATTTGACTCATGGTCGAAGTGGGACTTCTGCTTTGAAAAGACTCATGGAAGTCTTTTTCAGCAATTTGATTGGCCGGGAATGAAGGGGTCTGCTCAGAAGTTTATTGCGGAATATCAAGTTTGTGAAAGAACCAAGGTTCATAGGCATAAGCCTTATGGCCTGCTGAATCCCCTCTCCATTCCTGATGGACCGGGTGAGTCGGTTCCCATCGACTTCACAGGCATGGGAAAGAGAAGTGAGGGAGGACATTCTTAAGTCATGGTCATCGTGGACTGTTTTTCCAATTTTTTTTGAACTTGATTCCTTTACCACTGCATGCACCAACTGAGCTAGTGATTGAAGAATTCACCAGCAGTACATTGTACAGTATGGCCCTCCAAAAACTGTTGTGAATGATCGGGACACCAAGTCCAGTAGTACTGACTGGAAGGACTTCACCTCTCTGATCTATGACATAAAACTCAAATAGACTCTGGTCGATACCCCAAAGCCAATGGGTTGGCCGATGAAATTAACCAGACTGTCATTCAACTGCTTCGCGCTTTAATTGTTCCCAATCAGAACACGTGGGATAAGGAATTAGACAAAGTGAAAGGGTTGTACAACAACTCCATTCACTCTGCAACTGGCTTGAGGTCTGCAGTTGCTTAATCCTCTCGCCTACCTGGTCTAATGCCCGGCATACCTGGTTACAATGCCAAGTACGGATGCTTACTCAAAGTTGTTGGTGCAGCAATGACCAACCATCCGCATGCCATGACCAAACACGTTAACAAGTCACGCAAAAAGGGGAACTTCGAAGTAAGGAGTTATGTCTGGGTCAAAATGTCTGAATTTTCAGACGAGGAGGGAGTATCACAAAAGCTTCTTCCCCTGTACTATGGAGCTTGGCAGGTTCTGAAGGTGGTAGGGAATGATGAGTTTGGCCCTTCGCATGTGATTGAGCTCCCTCATCTGTGCACAAAATGTAAAGGTGGTAGGGAACGATGGGTTTGGCCCTTCGTATAACTGTAAAGGTCGTAGGTCGTGCTAGCAATTTTGAAATCAATAGCAAAAAATGTAGTGGTTGCTCAATGTCAGGCACATTTGTGGCAGCCTGGCTCTTGGCATCCATGCTACTTATCCGCCATTTCGAGTGTCCCCAGTGGGTTTGTGGGCAGAGCTTCTGGCGCACCAATTGTTGTGCTGGAGTCAAACTTGGACTTTTTTCTTTTTCAACGACACCTGTGATCAAATGTGCTAGAAACTGGGTCCAGAGTCCCTTACATTAAGGGCACACACCACACTTCCTTCCATAATGGCTGAAGGACCCTGAGTCAGATGCATTGATTATTCCTTATTAGAGGGAGGATTTATCGCTGCTGGACCTCTGCAGTGAGCTCATGACCCGACCTCTCAGTTCCCTAGGCTGCCTCATATCCTATAGCTGGAAACAGGGTCCAGTGCCCTTCTGTCCTTTTGCTGTGCCAGAACCTGGGTCGAGTATCCCTTGTCTCCCCTCTGCTGTCCTGCCCCTAGTTTAATCCACTTCTACCTCGAAGCCTGTTTCTGCCTGCCCTGATTTTCATTGCATGCCGAGTTTTGCCGAGCCTGGTTTCCATTGTGGTTTTGTTGTGGTACTCTTTCGGAAAATGAAAAAAAAAACACAGCCAGACTTTGAGAAAAGAACAAGCTCCCGGAAAGAAAACAAAGAACAAGCACGGAGTTGCAGTGACGTGCTCACATCCAAGTATGCCCTCAATGAGGGCATTATGTCAGGGGTGTCAGGGTATCAAGTGAAGAAAAAATAAATAAAAATAGTGTGGGTAGGCCCTCCTCCACATAACTGTCAGCAGCCCGTGAACTGCATCCTGCGTCAATGGCAGGGCACCAAAATCAACAAAAGAAGGAAAACAAAAACAAAAACAAAAACGACGAAACCTGAAACTGGATGCAATAGCTGTCAGATATGTCCACGGGAGTTTGGTGTGAGTTTTGGTGTGAGCACAACTCATTCAAGGCCTCCCCCGCGACATTTTGCCTCGTGTTTACAAGCGGGCCCAACCTTTCTTTTGGCCGAGCCTTGTCGACATCCCCGAAAAATGTGGTCTGACGTATATTCCCATTTCTCCCAACACTGAGAAAGGTAGTGGTGCTTTAAGGCTAGGGTCAGACTAAAGGAGCCCTGCATGGTGTGGGCTGAGACTGCATTCTGGTTGTCAACCGCAGTGGCAGCACCCAGATGACCTTCCTTACATTTGAAACGATGTTCCCCTTCCGCCAGTAAGCCAATCCTACCTGCCCCTAACACTCTGAAAATAATTATCCTGGATCTCGGTGCCTTGTCTGAGTCCTTGCGCATTTGCCTTTTGGTCTTGACCCAGTCTGTCCTGCATTGTCTCAAACTGTTGAAGGAACCCTTCCCATGCTTGTGCCAGCGGATGCCTTATTTTGTCTATTGTCTCCTTACATCTCCTCTTCCAAATTGGGCACAGCGCCACAGGTCTCATCCTTCGACATAGCTTACACTACTACCCTTAAAGTGTTTTGGTATAACAAATGCTGTTAGTAATGCTAGATTGTGGGCTTGGAAGGGTTGGTCAACCATCATGTGCCCCAAAGCTGCCACCTTGCCCCAGAGTTGCTTGGCCTTTGCAATCATACTGGAGTTTGCGTCTGAGTATCATCTTAGTCACAAAGAGTTACATGTGTAACTTAACAAGAGGGGAATGGTTCGGGGCTTAAATCTCTCTCTCTCTCTCTCTCTCTCTCTCTCTCTCTCTCTCTCTCTCTCTCTCTCTCTCTCTCTCTCTCTCTCTCTCTCTCTCTCTCTCTNTGTGTGTGTGTGTGTGTGAGTGTGTGTGTCCGCTATCAGCACGCCTTGTAAAGAAGGTTCACACGGCGTTGTTTAAGCAATCTCTCTCTCTGTGCTCGGTGGGACAATTATGCTGAGGAGGTGGTTGCCCGATTGTGGTCGTTTCTTGAAATTGTGCACTGCTGCAAGGACTTAGTTTCTTATCGGTCTATTGCTGCAAGAACTAAGTTTTGTATCGGTCTACTGATGCAAAAACTTTGTTTCTTATAGGTCTACTGTCAAACGAGCCTGGAGTTTTTTTTTCTTTTTTTTTCTTTTCCGACCATTTCTCAATTTATGCATGTCATCCTTGTGCAGGGGCCATGCTAAACTGCTCTGTATCGTTCCAATTTTAACGTATGTCCCAAGCCTGGAGTTTTGATTCTCACGTATTGGTTCTTTTTCATACGAAAATTGGCCTGCTTGGGGGTCTGTGTTGATCAGGTGAAATATTTGCTGGCTACCTCGAGGTGGAAATTTGGCTTGATTGACCCTCCCATGAGATCATCCACGTGTCGATTTCTGCGAGCTGTGCTGGAATTTGTAGTTCCGTCAGCCACTAGGACAGCACAGGTAAGCCATGGTGATGTGCCTTGGGAAGTGCATGTTGATGGTTCATTTCAGTGTAGCATCGTGTTCGTGTTCGGTCACCGAACCCGAACGTTCACGATGGAACGAGAACGCGCACCAAAAGTTCTCAAAACCCTCCTAACACGAACACAAAAGTATTATTAAAAAAAAAAAAAAGTTCTCAGAAAACTGTTCAAAAATCACCAAAATATATATGATTTATGGAAAAATAAAACAAACAGCTTTCGCCTGGAAACTATGTCCAAATTCGTAACCAAACTCGAGTTAAAAATAAAAAACGAAAGAAAAAATTAAAAAGAAAATAGAAAAAAATTCAAAAAAATCATTAAAAAAAATATATTCGACTGAACACGCTCGGGAGACGTTCGGACGAACACCCGAACATGTTCGGATGTTCGGAAGAGCCCCGAACATGTTCGGTGTGTTGCACAGGTTCATGTTCTTTTTTGTTTGTTTATGTTTGTTGATTTTTTTTGAAAAGTAGAACCTTGTGGTTCTGGCTCCTTTCCATTCTGGAAAGTGTCAGTGTGGTTCCTATTCCACTGGCAAATCAAATGGAATACAGATGCTACACACGCCAATGCTTATCCCCATTATGGCTGCGAGATCTGAGAGGCTGGCATTGATTACCGTGCAACCCCTCACCCCTGCCAAACTTAGCCTATTTGGTCTATTTCAGGGTAGTTTTGACGCCTACCGCCAACGCCTACTTCCTACCAGTCGGGCAGACCTGTAGGCGGACCCGTCGGCAGTCGGTAGACTGCCTTGCAAGTTTTTTTTTTTTTTTGATTACCTGGTCGTGCGTGGCTTCAGGAGAGCAGCCCAAATCCGCAATAACCTTTTTGGGGGGTGGGGGTTATAAGGGGCGGTATAGGGGGGTTGTAGGGGGTTAAGGGGGGGGTATGAGGGTGTTAGGGGGCGGTATGGGAGAGTTGGGGGGGTGCTATGGGGGTGTTGATGGGGTTGTTTTAGGGTTCTGGCCCCCCAATTTAAAAAAAAAAGAAATTTCTTGTGAGGTGCCAATCGACCCCTGATCGGTAGGTGCCGACCAGTCCGACTGTCTGCTGGTCGGCCCCCGACCAATCCAGAGGCACCAACGGTCCACGTGACTACTCTGGTCTATTTCATGTTTTTTCTTTTGATTGTGTGTTTTGACGTAATTGGCTAGCATAGTCACTGTTAGCCAATATGCAGCCTGTGTACTATTGGCCATTGTTGGTGGAACTGTGTCAGACTTCTGGAGGGCTAGTGAAAGTCTGTATTTTGCCAATTGGCCTCACACCCCAGCCTGCAGTCTGCAAGAGTTTTCATAATGTTATGGTCTCCCTCAGCTGTTGCGCCTGCTATGCACAACCTGGCTGTGCAGATGTGCCCATGAAGTACTTCGTCACTGTCTTGTATCTTCTCCCTCCCTTCTGTATCTTGCTCTATGCGTTCTCCACCTTGCTGCAGGTGTTCCGACCTAAACGTTTCGCTGATTCCCAACCCTCTTTGCTATTCATAGCCTACGCTTTCTGATGTGCGGCCTTGGCCTCTCATCGCAACCTTTTAATCTCAGCCTAATTGCAAACAATTCTGGTATGCTCTCTGCGGTTGCCAAATTTAACATGTTGCAGAAAAAGGTCGTTGTGACATGCCTTGTCGGCATTTGGCGGACATTGATGGCTGAAACAAGGGCAACCCCTCAAGCGAATATTCAATGGCAGGAGCTTCTGGAGAATGAGGAGGACCAGCTGCAAGTGGTGGGTAAAGTGTGCTCACGGTCCACAGTTTTCATTATGTTGATCGGTTGCATTGTGTTTGAAGTAGCTCTCTTTGCTATCTCCTTAAGGCCTTTTTTCTTTTTTTTTTCCTGGAACCACCAGTTTTTTTTTGTTTTTCTGGAACCACCAGTCCTACTAGGAGGGTGATACGAGCAGCCCCTCCTAGTAGACCAGCCGGTGCTCCAATCAATTGGTGGGGAGCAACACCTGCCAGAAAGTCGGTCCAGCGTCCCAAAGTACATCGGCAACACCTGCTGGAAAGCGGTTCCAGCGTCCCAAAGTACATCGGCTGCTGGAAACCGGGTCCAGCGTCCCAGACATGACAAATAAGAGCATCCAAGGGCTGCAAAACTGGGAGCAGTGTCCCGTTGATCCTAAGTCTGGGCATTGGGGGTGGGATTACTGGGGGCCACCAGTGGGACCATCCATTTACTGATTCTCTGCTGGGAAAGTTTCTGGCTCTACTTCCATAAGGTTAAAAGGGTGACGGGGGAAGGGATCCGGGAAGTACGTTGCGGGCCTCGATGGAAAATCTGGGGTGATTGCTACTCAATCCCGAAAGCATAACTTAATAGTCCCTGGGTACTTCACCCCCTGTTCCTCCCTCCTATCCTACGTTGTCCCCCGACCATTTAACTTCTGCCATCCATCCCCTCTACTACCACCCAGCCATACTTCACAAAAACGGCTAATGATTTTGTCAATGTCCTGTTTGATATGCACAAAACTCATTTTTTGTCTGGCCGCCTGCCAGTGGTTGGTGATCTAGGCCTCCACCAGTTGCCTAACCAGGTTTGTCGCTTCGCCATCTTCTATTCGGGCCCGCTCCATCTCCAGGGTGCACCTTTGCCACCATATCGCCCAGAGGATAGCCCGCCTTCCTAGTTGGAACAGGTTTTCTGTCAAAGATTCTTGCGGGCATTGAGGCCAATGTCTGGTCAGCAGCGTCCTCCAATCCCAGGGCCAGCCGGAATCCACTGGCTGCCTCCATATTTGGTCCCACCATCACCATTACGATACGGGTGAAGGGCATTGCAGGAAGAGGTGCTCTATTGACTCCTCTCTCTTCCATGGCAGGTAGTTTTGCAGACATTTCTTACACCATGGTGATGCCCGTTCCTGCTGTTCCAACTTGGTCTGGTCAATCAACCAATTCTTGGTCGGGAGGCACCGATGGGGGATCGCCCACTGTAACGCCGAGATCTTGGCTGGTCTGAGTTTGGATTCCCGAAACCACTTTATGGGATGCAAGAGGTGCAGGTCCACGTCGAGGTCGCGCTGCCATCTATCGCAGACTATATCATGCGTTTGGTCTCAGCATCTGGTATGATGTTTTAGCTTTTATGTCTGCGAGAGTCAGTGGCTGCTGTGCCGCCCTCAACTCCCTCCTTCCCTGGTTCCATCGTCATTTCCAGGGTCGATTGGCAAGTCCGCAATTGGTGACATCGGCCGAAAGGCTCACCCTAATGCGGTATATGGCAGCTTTGTGCCTCCAGAAAAAGGGCTGCCTGCTTCCTCTCAGGTTATTTACCCTCCCCAACCTGTATCGTTCAACGAGGACCTCACCACGGTCCACCATATGCACCAGCCCCACCTATTCCGGCTCGGTAGGTAGTCCAACCCAGTCCCCCTCCATCAAGGGGGGCCCTTCCTCAGAATGGAGTACCATGCCACTGGGAAATTCTTGATCACCTCTTCCAGGGCCTCCTCTGTAAACTGGCGGTAGGGCAGCCATTTTTTCATCGTTTCCGCACTCTTCCATTCTTTGGCCTCCTCCTCCCATAAGTCCCCCACCCGCAGTGCCCCATGTCTGACCCACCCACAGGGCACAATATTATTTTTATGTTGATGATTCGCATTGTGTTTGAATTGGTTCTCTTCGCTATCTCCTTAAGGCCCTCCTTGGCCTCCTCCTCCCTTCCCTTTCTTTCCTCAGCTGATTACACTAACTTCCAGGTTGTAGTTCCATAAGAAGAGCAAAGGGAAGCTGTAGGAGTTGGTTAGTCTCTGGTGCTGAAGAAGTCGATGACTGTTTCATGAATTGTTTTCAGCTGTTAGTTGGAGATACAGGCAGAGAACTTCAAGAAGAGGACAAGTATGGCCCCTCAATATTGGTCTGTGGCTACCTGAGAGGGTAGGAAGGCTCCTCTATCAATCTAGCTTGTGTAAGAGTACGAGTATGATGCGACCTAGGAGTGCCCACTGTTCCATCGGATTCAGTATAAGCGTAGCTGTCACTGGATTAGAGAAGCAACGATATGAATTGAGCAAGAGGTAAAGTCTTTAGTCTCTTGACAGACGGCACGTACAAGGCATGCATTACCTGGAAAGGCAGTGCTGCAGTTGCAGCACGCGAGTGTTCTCTTTGTCTATTTGAACCCAAGCTACAGGCGAGTTGCATGGAGAGAGAGAGAGAGAGAGAGAGAGAGAGAGAGAGAGAGAGAGAGAGAGAGAGAGAGAGAGAGAGAGAGAGAGAGAGGGACCCCAAACTAACTATCCGGTCCCCCAAAACGACAACGGCAATGACGATCAAGTGTCTGCCACTCTCCGCTCCTCTGCTGGACGACGACGACGATGACGATCAAGTGTAGTATCTGTTCCGATCAGTTTGAAAAACGGCGCACACACGTGCGCGCGCACCAGAGAGAGAGAGACAGACACACCCCAAGCTAACTAACTATCCCGTCCCCCAAAACGACGATGACGATGGCGATCAAGTGTAGTATGTGTTCCGATCAGTTTGATATCTGACCCGTGGATCATCGGGAGATCTTTATTTAAAAAAAGAAAAAACCATGGAAAAACAGCGCACAGCACAGAGAGAGAGAGAGAGAGAGAGAGAGAGAGAGAGAGAGAGAGAGAGAGAGAGAGAGAGAGAGCCCAAACTAACTACCCGGCTCATCCCCCATGACTTCTCTGCTTGTTGCATACTCGTGAAACACAGTCATAAGTATGGTGCAGATTCCCAGAACCGTCCAGATAATACAGAGTTGATACCAATTGCAAGCGGAAGACTTGAGATACATGGACTGACCCTGACCTGACTCGGACTGCAATCGAACACTCTCAGTCATACATCGGGGGTGTGAAAGCCCTGGCCTTGGAAATAGACGAAAGGCCAGGGTCTGAGATCATCCACGGACGATGGAGGGAGGAGAGAGACGAAGGGAGGAGGAAAGGGAAGATGACGTCAACTGAATGTTTCCAAAGATAGTATCTTGAAATGTCAGAGATGGCGAAAGTCCGAAATGTCGCGAATACAGTGTCCCACAAGGTCTCAGATATTGATCTCACAATGTCAAGTACATCTCCAGAGGAAGATGAAATCAGATCCCACAAGTAGTCCTCAACCTACAGCCCCAATGTCGCTGTCTCCAATGTCATCAGAATTCGTAACCATCTTTCATACTCGTAGTAGTCCTGTAGGAGAACCCAGAAGTAGACTTATACTGCGAAGGTAGGAGGGGAGAGAGAGAGAGAGAGAGAGAGAGCGGTGGAGGAAGATGAGGGAGAGAAGGTGAAGCCTTCCTCCCTGGTATCTGGCACAGTCTTCTCTCCCTGGTACCTGGCACGGTAGCTATTGCGCTGCAAGGGGGCTGGGCCGGTAGCTGGCGCTGCGCCCAATGCTGCGCTAATCCTCTCGGCCGCTGAGCTCCTGCCCTCCTCACTGCTCCTCGCTATGCTGCAGCACTGCGCTAATCGTGAAGACTAACCTTCTGTCCATCCTAACCTCCTACTGAGGCTGGTACCCATCCTTTTGTAGTGCTGGGCCGGCCTCCGACCTGCTGGTACCTACCGGCCTGGAACGGTCCAGTTTTAAAACTGGACTTGGCGCGTAAATGCGGCAGCCTCTGCAGCGCCGCCGTTAGGTCCTTTGCTGGACCGGTACCGGCCTTGTGGCCGTTGGCCTGGGCCTCTACCCCTGGCCTGCCTGAACCGCCGTGGTCTTGGCCTATCTGGGCCGCATCTGAACTGTCATCCCCTTAGGCCTACCCTGCCTATTTGAAACCGGGCCCTAACTGGGGCCCGTGTGGCTCAGAATGCCACACTGCTCCTGCCGCCCTCCTCCGCCTTCTTCCCCCGCTTCTTCACTCTCCCCGCTCCTCCGCCTCACCTCCACAGCTCGGGGAAAAAAGGGCGTGCCTCCCCTCCGGTCTTTCTCTACGTGCCTGGCGCCAAGCTTGCCCAGGAAGGTACATGAGGGCGACGGGGATTGAACGCAAGACCTCATGAATGCCACTTGAGTGCCATGCCAACCAAGGTACGCCGCTGGATTTCACTCTAGAGTCGGGGGAAGACAGTAGGGGTAGACATAGCATGCCGATTTCCAAAGCCAGCTGTTGCAGAACCTCCCCAACTAGCAGGAGGTGCCGCACACATATTGCCATAGCTGTTAGGGCACAACCCCCCACGAGACCATGAGTCTAAAAACACCCCCAACCACCACCCTAAAACCCATCGAACCCACCACCCCGCCTCGTTTCTCCCATTTCCCGCTCAATCCCTTGCGAGCGAAGCCACAACAGGTACCCTTGTGGTCAAGATAGGAGCCAGTAACACCATCATTTCATATGGGACTCACTGGTTGTTGACAGCAAGGGGGGCAACGATACGGAAGAGAAGTCTGCCATTGTGACATGATGCACGTGCAAATTAAAGTTTCATAAAACTTATATTGTGTGTATCCACTGAAAACAAAGGTTACGGAGGCCGAGTGCAACAAAAGTCTAGGTTCACTGAAAAAGGCGTGACCAAAGTCCTAATGCTTGCTGTAAAGGTATACAATACTATACATGGTATCCTTTTGTCGTGTGGTGATGGAAGTTATAACCAGGAAAAACCTACAACTGTTCACACAACTTCACAGTCACAGGCGTATGTGCATATTGTTTGGCCTCAAGCAGATGTAAAGCAAACCTACTCATTGCATGTGTCCTACTCATTGCACGTGCAGTGCTCTCAGATCAGAGAATCGGGAAAACAAAATGCCACAAACGACCATATGTGCTGTAAAAGCTCACGATGTCCTAAAATCTTATTCATTGATTTTATAAAAATATGAAGGTGAATCAGGTGATTTAAAGTTCGTGTAAGTTTTGCAGGTGTGCTGTAAGTATTCTCGGCAGCCTTGGGCAACCACGTGACTCTGTGTCTTATGCAATGTTGGGTGTTTCTATCACTGTGATGAATTTGTGTGACTTTACAGTATCTAGACATCCATGGGGAAGCATTCACACTTATGCAAAAATGGGCTCGCAAGACAAAGCTAAGGGTGCATGCGCTTAGCCTAATGCAGGTGAGCATATACACCTTCATGTGGAAAGCACCGGATAGGATGAAAGAGGACCAATGTCCGCCTGACTGCTTCTCTGACGGATAAGCAGGGGTCATTGCTCTGTGACGATGTCAATGTAGCAAAAGCATGTATTGGCTTTTGCTACTCCTGCACGAGTTATCAGGTTGATTGGTAATTGTGCTCTGCATTTGCGAACTTAATCTGAAAGGGTCAGACACTATGCATATTCGGTTGCAGAGTTTTGTGTAGTTTTTGCCTCCAGGTGTTGAGCTGTATCGCCTGGACTTAATGGCAAGTTTTCACAATCACTTGGAGAACTGAGTTTTCCTGATCGATAATGTGACAGTTTCTTCTCTTCATCTAGTGTGGCATGTTCTCTTTATTCATGAATGCTTTGGTGCCTCTGGCAACATGACCTATGTTACTTCTTAAGTTCTTAGCTGTGGTTTTGCCTGGCTCTTAAACAGCCTGTACGTAAGCTGGAGAATAACCAAATGTGCTTCGTAGCCCTGTGAGCCAAGGCCGAAGGTGTTTGCACGAACTCAACTCTGTTGATGGAGGGAATTTTCTTGCATAAACAAGGCTGAATACCCGGTCCCACCGGGGCCACCTTCCCCCACCGGAACCGAGCTGGTTTAAACTTTAAACCGGCCGGTGGACCGCGCTGGTTCTACCGCCTGGTGGACCGTGCCGGTTCCCCCCCGGTTGCAATTTGCGCAATTTGATCGCGGGGGGGGAGGGGGGGGGTGTAACGAGAGTGAGGCTGAGGGTGAGCCGAGGGAGAGGAGAGAGAGGGAGAGAGTGAGAGCACACACACACACTCACTCACTCGACACGACGGACTCGGACTGAGGATCGGACGCAGACACATTGGCAAGGCACAAAGTCGAAGTCTTGGATTCCGAATGCCGAAACAGCAAGTCACACTGAGTACTAGTAGAGCAGCAGAGAACTGGTACGAGACTGGTCCCCGTACCGTACGGGGAGCCGGTATAAGTACCGGTGACACGTACGGTACCAGGGGCATTTCTGCAAAGGCCCCGAGGGCAGAACTGAAAAATGCAGTATTTGAAAGTGGCGCCCGAATTGCAGCATGGCGCCAGTTGTCCAAAATCCTACGGTACCAAAGGAGGAGTTTGGAAAAAGGGTGCCAGGCCGAAAGCGGGATGCAGCTGAAACAGCAAAAAGATAGACCAGGGATCGAGCCCCGGCGGAGTCCGTAACAGGGGGGGTTCAATTTTTTTTGGGGCTGGGAGGCCTTCATGGGGGTCGTGGAGGCCTCCCGGCACCAAAAGAAAATTAACCGGTCCGGTAGGCCCGCCAGAATATTGAAAAACTGGCGGCCTATCCGGTCCGTCAATCGGGTGAGATCTGTGGCCCAGATAGGCTGCCCGTTTTCGAACATTCGGGTGGGAAGCCACCCGAACATCGGCCTGCCATCCATACGTTCCCCAGCCACCGCCCCCACCATCCCGCCTCCCGCCTCCAGCTGCTTTCGAGCAGCACAACCCGTCACTTCGACACTTCATCGAAAGTGGATGAGGTCGAGACTGCGTCGACCCCCCCATGTCCGCCCCGGGCTTGATCGCCGTCGCCCCGCCCCGCTGTCCATCGGGAAAGGTGAGTCTTCCTACTCCTCCTCTTCTTCTTCTTCTTCTTCTTCTTCTTCTTCTTCTTCTTCTTCTTCTTCTATATATCATATATAAATATAATTCGTGATCTTAAAGAATCAATTCTTTAGCATCTGTCTAATAGATTCAGAGACATAGACGTAAGAATATCAAGACTTACTCAAAAACAAAAAAAAGTTTTTTTCGAAGGCTCGAAAAAAAACAAACAAGGCTGGTGAATTTTC